TCAGATATGGGGTTTGCTAGCCCCCTAGAGGCCTGGTGTTGCTTCCATCGGCCTCTTGGATTTTTTCTTTTCCTTTTATTCTTTGTGAATGTTTCCTCTTTAAATGTTTGACTGTATATTTATTTATTGTTTTAATACGTTGTAAGCCACCCAGAGTCCCCCATTGGGGGGAGATGGGCGGGGACAAGTTTAATAAACAAACAAACAAATAAAGGCCAAAGATATTATTCTGGTAGGCACCTGCAACAGATGTGCCATATTTTCCTTTCTCCCAGAAGACAAGTGGTTTTCATCTGTGAAAAGTGTCATTTTATAGAACTTCTGAAAGCAAACGTTTACGTATAGCAGGCCAGAATACCATGCCTACACCACATTTATTAAATTAAGACTTATTGAATGGTAGTATGGATGTTGCAAGCAGGACAGCAGTATGAAGCTTGCAATTTTTCCAAAGGATAGGAATAAAAACAGCTGACAATAAATTACTATCAGAAGCAAAACAACCACAAAGCAGACCATCTCCTAAACTTTGGCACCAATTTCAACCTCTAGCCTCCAAAGAAATTTCTACAAGCATGAGTCAGTTACAAAAGATTCACGCAGTAGAAACTGTCACTGGATCCAAGCAACAGTGACCTATCACACGTCATCGAGGAGAAGAAAAGGAAGATTGTAACTGTAGCTGACTCCCTTCAGAGAGGCATTGAAGCTTCCATTTGTCATCGAGATCTTTCATCTTGACATGTATAATGTCTCCCAGGTGTCTAAATATGAAATGTGATGGAAAGACTGATGTGGCTTATATGACCTGCTGATCACAGACCCTTTGTGCTCAACCAACATGGGCACAAATGATGCTGCAAGGCATAACCTCCAACATCAAGAGTGACTTCATGGCTTTGGGAGGAGGGTGAAGGATCTTGGGGCTTAGGCGATGGTATCATCAAAACTTCCTGTTGAAGGCAAAAGTCCAGTAATAGAAAAGAAAAAAAAAATAACTTGGTTGCAACATTGGTGCAAACAACATAGGTTTGAAGTGAAGGGGCTGTTTTGTAGAGATGGAATTCATCTTACTAAAGAGAGAACGTACCTTTCTGGATGATAGTGGGCTACCTCACTCTAGTTTAAAACCAGGAGGGCTTTAAACTAGAGTGAGTGGGAATCATAAGAGCACTGATGAGTAAAGAATTGCCAAGTAATGGATTGAATACAGCAGCAAAGTGAAATTATTTGGGACTAGCCAGTTTAACAAGGCAATATAGATATAAAGGAAAAGGGAAACTGAACACAGGAAGGCTGACCTATTATCTTAAATGTCCCTACACCAGATCTGCAGAACTCTTGAAAGGCAAAGGGCCAGATTAATACCTTAAAAATAATTGCAGGCCACAAAGGAACAGCTGGCATGCCAGCCAACTGTTTGGCAGCTAGCAGCCTGGTGGCAGTAATGGAGCTGGCAGTGTCTGTGAGGCCTTGGAGGGACTTGGCACTGTGTCTTTTGGGGTGGAAGTGGCTGCAAAAACCTAAGCAGAAGCTACGTTGGGCAGCAGTGGAATTGGTTATTTTTCAAAAAACACTGACAGGTCTCATCAGGCTGTTTGGTGGGCTGAAAGTTGTGCAGGCCTGCTCTATGCTAATGGACAAAGTACGGGTAAAAGCAAGATGATCTGGATCATGAGGCACAAAGACAAGTGTGGTATAATAGGGATTACCAAAAAACAGTGGGATGAATCCCACCAGTGGAACATTGGTCTGAATAAGTACACCTTGTTTTAGAGGAACAGGTAATACCACAGTGGAGATGGTATAGCATTATATAGTCAAGAAATAACTTACCTTTGTAGAGGGCAATTGGATTGGTGCTAACATGAGCATGGACAGTATCTGGAAAGCTAATGGAAGGGATAGCTTAGGTGTCTGCTCCAAACCAATTAGAAGACGTAGATAGAGCCTTGTCTGTGAGATTAGATTAGCCCTGACCCTCCTGGTCTCCCATAAGGCCTCAAAGTCATGGTTGTGTCACTGAGCTTGGGGATCTGGATGTGTGACAAAGCCTGAGCAATGATTATGTTGATTTGTTTGCTGGTTGTTTTGTTTTTTTTTACTTTGGCTGTTGATTATGTATGTGTTAGTTGTGTTGAGATGGGTGGCCATATAAATTGAAGTCAATATGTATTGAAATAGATATCCAAAACCTTAGAAAACCATGATGAGGGGTTGGGAAAGGAGGTTTCAACTACCCAAACATCTGTTGGAAGACTCAAAAGAAGAGAAGATGGAAGGGATATAAAAAAGTGTTCAGGTATTGTCAGTCCTACAGGGTAGACCAGGAAACCAGTGCCATACAAGTCAGGACTATTGTAACATCTATAGTAACAGAATCTTGTGAGTCTGAATGTGTCAGGTTCA